GCCTAGTGAAAGGAGTTCATCATCCCGTGCCACATCCTTCTTTGTAGCTAGATGGGAACAAAGATCGCGGCCTAGGGGAGAAAAAGAGGGGTGTGCGCCTCTGCTTTGTACCCCACCCTCAACTTTGTTTTTGCTTGGAGTGGTCAGCAGCGATTGACGTTCCAGATCATGAATAACTCAGAAAAATGGCAAAGTAGGTGCACAAGAAAAATACTAATCAAAATAACATCAGCCTCTTAATTTCTCTGTCATACTTATTGTGATTTCTTTAATCATACTGTGATGCTTTTATCGTCTTAATATTAGGCTTGCTCATCATTTGATAAGAATGCACTGAAACTCATATGCATAAAAATTACGTGTTGAAATATTTATAAGAGGAGCTCTAGTAGATCAGATCTGACAGTAGAGCAGTGTTTCTCAACCTTAGGAACTCTAAGATGTGTAGACTTCAACTCCCAGAATTCCCCAGCCAGCATGTCTACAGATCTTAGAGTTGTCAAGGTTGAGAAACACTGCGGTAGAGTATCAACAGTGGCTAGCAAATCATGAATGCTAGCAAATGCCTCCAAGAAACCTTAAGTAGCCCTTAGTTTTGTATATCTGCAATATCTGATTTGTCGAAGGTATTCTTCTTCTGGAATTTAAATTTTTAACACAATCCTGAACGTAATCACTTGGAACCATTGTGTTCAGCAGTTCTCACGCACTAACAACGTTATTACTTATTATTGTGGCTATCCTGATAGTTGTCTAGTATTTCAGAGCTGTTCTCGATGGATTTCTTATCCAATTTAAAATTAGACTATATATGTAAATGTATGGTTCTCATCTTTGAGATTTGGAACATTTCTTAAAATGATTTCTTAGGTGTGAAGCACAAGTATATCTTTGCCTGTAAAATTAGCCAGGCAGTTAAGCCTTCAAACTGCCCCCTTCCACAAAGTTTATGATTTCTGTGATTAATTTGAGCAACATAAAATAAGTCAAGGAGATGTCATGTTGAAGCATGGCTGGAAAATAAGTTTCATTTTAGACTTTTAAGTGTTCCCTGCTTTTGAGCTGATAAAAAGGAACTGGCATAAGGTCCCCCAGGGAGCTTCCATGGCTGAGGGGGACTAGAATCTGGTTGTGGGCTAAAAGAGAGGAACTGGCCCAAAGTCAGGCAATGAGCTTCTGTAACTGAGAGGTGGAACTGAACCTGACTCTCCCCACTTCTTATCCATCCTGCATCATGCCAGTTCTCATGTCATTACCTCGTGTCAAACCTTCTAACTGTTATAGTTTGCTTTGAAATACCAATGTATTCTATTGCTTTACATCAGTGTTTTTTAACCTTGGCAACTTTAAGATGGATGGACTTCAACTCCCAGAATTCCCTGACCAGCATACTGGCTAGGGAATTCTGGGAGTTGAAGTCCAGACATCTTCAAGTTGCCAAGGTTGTGAAATGTTGCTTTACATGTTAGGCATTGTGGATTATAGGTAGATAGTTTGTAATTTTTTAAGTCCATATGATATATTTCTGTGATTCAAAAATGGCATTTTTTAATGTAACATAGCTTTAAAATCATTTTATTCATGTACTTTTTAAACTCTCCCTTGTCAAGGGTCAGGCCAAGATATAAGAACAACATGCCTGTGTCTTTTGAATCATAACTTCTCACCTTATTTGTAGTATAGGAATGCTTTTGCTGTGGAGAAAAAAAACTCTTGTTCTTAGCAGCTGTTGCAAAGGCCTCCTGAGCATGTTTATTACTTCTGGTGGCTGGTTAGTTTTCTGTATGAATACTGCAAATGTTGATAGCTTTAGTGCTTTTGTATTGTTTGGTTTAGATTACATGCACCACGTGGTTTATAAAGTGGTTTTCCTGTAAAGTTGTAAAATGCTTTTAATTGCCCACATGGCTATACTACATGAGTTGTAGGGATTCAATTAAATGCCATTAAAATTTCACTCTCTACCCATACTTCTTTACCTGACACAATAAATCCTCTTCAACATTTATCAGGTTTCTTCAGGTTATTGTCAATTCTGCATTTAATTTATTTGTGAAATCACTTTGTGTACAACTGGTGACAAGGCAAGTTGATAACCAGTGGTGGTAACAATACAACTTTCAGATAGACACTGCTTCTCTTGCACATTTAACTTGAAAGGCAGCTGATAAATTAAATGGAATTAATACTATTTTTATCATTGATGAGTATATGTTTATTACATATTCAGCTTACTAACATTCAATATAATTTAAAACACAAAAAGACTTTTTTTAAAAAAATTACCTTTAAGTTGGAATTTTTATATGAATTGCAGTATGAAACTGCTTCGGGAGCTGCACTGGTTGCCCGTGAGTTTCCAGGTGCAATTCAAGGTCCTGGTTGTCACCTATAGAGCCTTCATGGCTTGGGACTGGGTTACCTTAGGGACCGTCTTTTCCCAGTTGTTTCTACCCGTCCAATCCAATCTGGCAGATTGGGCATGCTCTGGGTCCCATCAACCAAGGAATGTCGGCTGGTGGGGACCAGGAGACGTGCCTTTTCTGCTGTGGCACCTGCCCTCTGAAACATCCTCCCTCCTATGATTAGGATGGCCCCGACCCTTTTGGCTTTTTGGAAGGCCTTGAAGACCTGGCTTTATGCCCGGGCCTGGGGCCCCGAGCGTGTGAAGGGCCCCGTTTCATGATTGTGCTGATACTGACGGTTTTTTAAGAACTCTTGGCTGCCGTTATATTTATATTTAATTTTTTATACTGTTTTAAATGTTGGCTGTTTTTATTGTTGTTAGCTGCT